CCATGTTTGAACGCAAAGCTATTTTGACTAAAAGGGGTGGTTGACTTGGTGTGGCAGTTCAACTGACGGCAAAGCCAGTTAAGTAGCAGCCGCATACCATTGCGACATCGATGCGCATACCTGCAGAACGAGAGACTGAGTAGACGCTGATCCAAAAAGTCGAGAAGCCTACCAGGAGTTGCAACAGCCAGGTGGCATCCACGCTGCAATTCCAACACTTGTCGATAGGGTTTCTCTCCGCCATACAGAGCAATGGGACGCACGTGGGTGCGGTAGCACAACTGGGAAAAGAGAAGGTACAACATTCCCTAGGTTTTGCTGGTGTTGCGATAAAAGGGCCAACTACTAGTAAAAACCATTGGTTCGTTAGGAAAAAAAGGTAACGTGTAGCACATTAGAGGCATTTACACTGAGCTACTGTGTTCTGATGGAGTATACCTGCTTCACGAATCTTCTCATTTACTTGACGTTAACGCTAAGACTAGATCAAACACGGTACAGCAAACAAAATCGTCCAATCGAGCTGTACCTTGCTAGCCTCGACCCTGATTTGGTGGACCAGTTCGCGAGTTGGAGCAAGGACAAATACAGAAATTATAAAGCCACAAGTGCTGAAAAGTGGCTATTTATTTTCAACGTAATCGCGTAAGTTGTTTATTTATTTGCCGATTCACTACTTATGCAAAACTGTTTGAGTTACAAAACATCAGTGCTATTTAATGTAAGTTTCCTAACAACTAAATGCAATTCGAATTTCGAAGGATTACGCTGGAAATATTTTGCGTCTAAGTAGGTCACGAAATTTAAGGTCTACTCGTCTGATACTGGACAATACTCTTATGTATTTTGTGCTTAAATAAGGTAAAAACAGTTAGGAATAATAAAATTTGGCCGGTGAACAGAATTTATCCACAATATTTAACTTAGCCCTGTGTAACGTTGACTTCATTTTCCCGTGACCAACTGAGTTACCTCCTAATATGTTTTCGCAGAGTGCTTGTAGTGTACATTTAGGCACTTCCAACGGTGTGGCAACGAAAATCAAGGCTTGCTAGCTGACCACCTAAAGGCTTTCAGAAGTCCTTGTTGGTCTCGGATCACACTGGCTTCAAGGAACAACGTAGACTCGGTCCAACCAGGAGAAAAAGGTAATTAAAGGCCTATGTATTTTGTGTGATAAGGTTTCAAAAAATCGATTGGCTTCATATTCGTTCATGCAAAATACTTTGAACACGTTTCATGTGGGTGAAATCAACACCAACATCTTCCATATCGTATGTGCTCACCTTTGATAAGAATTTTTCCCCATCATTACAACCTCTGGGCGACAAAAAAATTGCAAATTAGGACGGAAGAAATAAAAATCCGGGTGGAGGGAGTTTAATTTTAACAGCAATTACGTTGACACACTAGTTCAGTGTTAATTATCGACCACTTGAAGTAGCTTTTTTTAACACTACCTTACAACCCTCTAGTTAGCAGTCCCGGTAAAGCCCGAAAAGCAAGACAAGACAGTGACAGTGGATACGCCTGTTAATTAGTGCCACGCCTGCTAGGTGTGTGAATGCGAATCAGCGAGCGGGTGACAGGCATCAGATAACAGAAACTAGTGCTAAAGAGATTAGTCATTGACACTGTCAGGTCAGTAAAAGTACTTCACTCGCGCGCAATCGTTGATGGTCCCCTACATACGCAATGCCCGCATTTGTCGCCAAATCTGACTTAAAAAACAACCAATGGGACTTTCAATTCAGTCGAGTTTCAAAGTGACTGGAGTCTACTATTCATCGTTTTGACCCATACTCACCAGCTTACCTCATCGTAATTTACATCAGTTACGGAAAATTATAGATACCATGATGGTTCACTAAAGCAGTCAACTACATAAAATATGTGTGGGGAGTGTGACTCATTGCTGATCAAAAGCACGCCCTCAGCCAATGTGGTAGCCGTTGAGCGTCGTTCCTCATATGG